ATAAAAAGGGTACCTAATGTTAGGTAGGTACGAAGGGTACCTGACAATAGACGATCTCATGTAAGTATGAGTTGTAACGGATTATAATGATTTTGAAAGATAAGTATTAATAATATTCTTATTGTACTCCAACCAAAATATTTAAGTCAATCAGAACGACTAATAGGAAACACATGAAACAAAGACTTTACTCATGAAACATAGTGATATAATTTATAATGATATAATATCGTAAAAAATTCTAAAGCATACAAAAATAAGTAGTAAAATGGTAATTGTAAGTAATAATTCAAATATTTTTGTGTTTTGAAAAAAAAAAGGTATTTAAGAGTTTGTAGTGTGTGTTCATATATGATGTGTAGTTGTACATATAGAGCGGTAAATACTAAATAACAGTTGAAAACAATCGCTAATTAGTCGTTGTAATTTTTATAATTATTTATTTTTATTTTTTGATATTTTTTGATACATTATTATTATTATTATTATTATTATTATTATTATTATTATTATTATTATTATTATTATTAAAGCCTGCATAGCCCGTTTAGCCCGAAGCCCGCTAGGGTTAGGGTTAAGTCATTTTATTGGTAGCCCGTTTAAATTTGGATTTTTTAGACCCGGACCGTTTAGCCCGAAGCCCGCTAGGCTTAGCCCAAAACCGCTAGGACTAGCCCGTTTAACATCTCTACGTGTAAATAATGCGAATTACAATTTATGATCAGGAAAACATTAGTTAGTTGTATTTATCACTAATGCGAGTGTAATGGAGAAATTAATGATTATTCTAATTTAGATATAAGAATAATAATTATTATAATGTGATAGAAAAATATAAATGATTGATAAATATAGGGTTAATTGCAGGAAAAATCCTGACATTTACTTAAATTGCAAATAAAACTCCATTTTCTCAATTTGACAAAACAATACACAACCTTTCAAAAATTTTGCAATTACGTCTCGAAGGAAGATTCTGGTCAACTGATGCTGACATGGCATATCGGTAAATTGATGTGGCACCGGTTTTGTGACGTGGCAAAAAGACATTTTACACGTAAGAGTTCATGTCATATCACTTACCGTAGGAATGCCACATAGATTGG